TGGCAGGGCGTGGCAGGGCGTGGCGGGATGGAGCTTCATCCTGGACGGCCTTGGACTTAGGCCTAGCTAGCTGCCACTCCATAAATAATATTACGTCACGGCCGGGAAGGCAAGGGGTGTGATCGACTTCTTGACGTGCGGCGCGGAAAACCTCTTCGATTTACACGCTCGGTCATAAAATGATGTGGCAACCACTCACATCACCAATAAATTAGACACGCCTGCGTGTGACGTCGAAAAACACACACAAGGGGTTAAAAAAGGGGATCATTTTTTTTTTTTCGTTTTCTTTTTTTCCTGGTCCAGCCGCACGGGGTGGGATCGGCACACATGAGGCAGTGTAAATATGCAGCAGCCTGCTTCCGAGGGCCGCATCGCCGCTCTCTCTCTCTCTCGCACCTTCGTGAGGCGCCCCGTGGGTGCGACAGAGACGGAGCGACGAAACGAGTCCTGCCCTCAGGCGGGCCCGTGTAATTCAGGGCAAACACGCGCGAAGCGTGACTGGGGGCTTATCTAACTTGTTCGCGGTAGTCGACTACGCGTTCCCGGACCAACACGTACGTGTGTGTGTGTGTGTGTGTGTGTGTATGATGGGGAAAGACCATCGCGTCGTATTATTGCTAATCCATTACAGCGACCTGACACGCGGGCTTTCCGCGAATACAACATCTCCCTGCTATCGACAGACAGCCGAGAGGACCTCTCCGACAGACAGGCGCGCGAGCATTGTTTCCACGCAGGACCTGAACGCCCCGCCCCACCCCGCCTCACCACATCTCACCACGCCGCGCCCTGCACCTCACCACACCCCGCCTCGCCACAGTCCACCCCGCCTTGCCTTACAACACGCCACACAGCCTCACCACATCCCACCTCCTCACCACACCACGCCCAGCCTCACCACAACCAGCCTCACCACACCACACTCCGCCTTACCACACCATACCCCGTCTCACCACACCACACTATACAATCCGCCTCACCACACCAAACTCCACCTCACGACACCACACTACAGCATCCACCTCACCATACCACACCACACCCACAACCCGCCCGCCCCGCGCCCGGCCGACAGGTGGCTGCGCCTGAAATATTCACGTCAACCTCCTCGGCGAGCTCGAGCTGGCTCCCCGGCGGCCCTCGGTGCCCCCTGTGTCCACAGGATCATCTCTGGCGGGGTGACCTCGGCGGCCGTGACGCCGTGACGCCACGGCCGTGCGGCACCGCGCCGATGAGGGAGGCGAGCGGAGCTGCAAGAGTCGTTGTCGTCGCTCTCTGTCTTTCTCGCACTCATGGACAGTCAGTCCTCCACAGGTGAAAACGAGACTCGGAATCAGTCTGCAGAGTGACTGGCGCGGCGGTGCGGCGAGCGGAGCGCCCGCGGACGGCGGGATAGGCAACACGCCCGACCCACTGCCGTTACCATTAAAGGCTACACCACACATGATCGTCTGCCTTTTCGGTACTGCAAGGCACAGTCTCACTGAGATTCCAAACGCTATGAGTATAGCACGTATGGTGCAATGCGCTGTGATATCGCACCATACGTGCAATGCCACAGCCATATTGCACCTTTGGTGCAATGCTTCCCGAAAAGGCCCTATGCTAATGCATGGGAAATGGGAGGCATTGCACTTCATGTGCAATGCTTTTGCATTGCACCAATTGACGCTATACTCATAGCGTTTGGATTCTCAGTGCTGACACAGACGTCAAGGGGGCCAAAACTCTAGACGCGTTTTGACCTCGTTCGGAGAGCAATCCATTGGTGGGGTCACACGTTCGGTTCGAGTCCCATTTAGCGACTAGGAGCTCAAAACGCGACCGCGGGATTTTGGCCGCCTCCACCGGTCTTCTGGCCCACTTCGTGGCGCGGCGGGCGCCGCTGCATGAATGTTTCATGGCGCCATCGGGCGGCCCATCGTCCCGTTGTTGGCGTGGCGCGTGTCAATCAGGAAGCCGCGGGCGTGGCCGCGCGCCGTACGTCTCGGCGGCCGCATTGTCTCTGCCGACGGGGCGCGCAACGCCACTCTGTCTCTCTCGCACCTACACGCAACGCCCTTCCAGTGCGAGGGAGACAGGGCGACCTGCCGCTGGCGCGGGTTCGACTCCCGGCGGAGGCAGCAAGGTCGATCAGCAGGCAGCCGCAGCGGCGCGGGATTCAGCCCCAAATATTCATAAGCAGTTAGCGGGGTCGCCGCAGCCTGACGCCGCCGAGGCGCGCTCACGACGCCAGCGGACAAGAAGCAGTGCAAAAAAGCGAACGAGCAGACTGATTCCGAGAGTCGTTTTCGTCGCTCTGACCTTCTCGCACGCGTGGGGCGTCCCGACGGGTGCGAGAGAGACAGAGCGACGGCTCTCGGAATCAGTCCGGTCCAGTTTCTTCGAAGCCAATTGGCACAAAAGCGGCGTCCGCAGCCGCACGCCGTGGCGACATCGCGTGGCGGAGTCGCGGCCCCGCGCGCCACGCCCTGGGCCGCCCTGGGCCGCGCTGGCCGAACTTTTGGAGGACGGCGACACGCACACCATCTGTCGGCGCGCGCCGCAGGCCGTGTGACCGCATATCGACCGGTTCCGGGCCTTCGGGGCCTCCGGGGCCTGCGGGGCCTCCGGCACGCCGCCGCCGTCTCTCTCGCACTCGGGGGGCGTGCCGTGAGGGCGCGAGAGAGACGGCGCGACGAGAGCGAGTCAGGCGGCTGGGACGGCGCGGACGGGGTTGGGGCAGGACCGCGGCCGGGCCACCAACATGGCGGCGCGGATACACCGCGCCGACGGGGAGCGTGGCGCCACCGCCCGCCACCAGGGGGCAGCACCGGCCAGGGGCTCCTCCGGGGGACCAGGAAAGCCCCCCGTCCGTCGCCCCCCCCCGGGGTCCGCCGCCCCTTGCCCCCTCCTCCGGTCCGCCTCCCCGCGCCCCCCCCCCCCCCCCCCGCTCTCGCCCCCTCCCCCGATCCACTAGTGAACCAGGAGGGTGACAGCGCTCTATAAACGTGGAACAACCAAAAAGAAATCCTCAAAGGCAACGCAAATCCAATTGCTTTCTTTTCCTTAGAGAAAAATAATCTATATACTGTACTTTGAAATTGATTTAAAAGTTTTAAGCATAGTGAAGAGGCTCAGCCGGGGGCGCGCCTCGTGGAAATCCGGGGCGCCTTAAGAGCGGCTGCACAAAGGCAACGACCTGCTCAAAGCAATGCGAAGCAAGGCGGGGCAAAGCAAGGCCTCGTTACCTATTTACAAGCGGCGTTAATGCAGCCGCGCTAAGTGGGGCTACTCGGCTGCCACGCCACTGCCACGGCCCCGCCACGGCCCCGCCACGCCCGACAGGCCATCCGACTAGCAGAGCGCCAGCCACTGTTGGCAGCATAATAGCACTTGACGTTTTATGGAACGGCAGCGGGGCGCAGTACCGGAGCAGGCGAGCGAAAATTAAGTTTACAGAAAAAATAAATAATACATATCGATCTCGGGCCGTGGGAGATGGAAAGGGCGCGCAACCCGGACAGAGTGCCGCTGACTGGCTTTCCCCGTGTTTGCCCTCGAGATCCCCTTTGGGTCCGTGGTGTGGAGAGTCCACCCCGGCGTCGGCGTGGCGTTTTTCCTCATCGGTTCGACAGCGCGACCCTCGACCGCGATACGCCGTGGACGAATAGCGCCACGCGGACACAACGCGACACGGGCGGCGTCTCAAGGTCACTCTGACAATCTCAAGGTCATTCTGGTAATCTCAAGGTTACTTTAAAAAATCTGAAGTTCCCTCTGGTAATGACAAGGTCCATTTGATAATGTCAAGATCCCTTTGTTAATCTCAAGGTCACTCTTGTAATCTTCGGGCCACTCTTGTAATCTCAAGGTCACTCCGGTAAACTCAAGATATTTCAGGTAATCTCAAAGTTACTCAGATAACCTCAAGATCACTCAGGTAATGTAAAGGTCCCTCTATTAATCTCAAGGTCCCTCTAGTAATCTCGACGTCCCTATGGTAATCTCAAGGTCACTCTGCTGCAGTCTCAAGGTCACTCTAGCAAATCGTAAGGTCACTCTGGCAATCCGACGCGCAAGGGGGACCGCACGAGCACCATCCGAGCAGCACCAATTTCTTGCGATCGTTTTTATGCGCAGAGCGATATGGTTCGTCACCTTGAGGTACGTTTAAATTTGCACACACGTTATATGATGGTTGGCGGCGGGAAGCACTACATTTACACCATACTTGGCCAAGTACAAACTTAGGAATGCAAACTTGCCAAGTACACCCTTAAGACTGTCCCCCAACTCCATGATATGATTGGGCACTTGTAGCTGTGCCGTACTTGCCAAGTATGCACCTGCAGGTGTGTACTTAGCCAAGACCGCACTTCTAAGGGCGCACTTAGTTGACAGTAATGTTTGCACAGGGTAGTGCGGTGCTGCCGCCGCCAACCACAGCAGCGGCCTGCGCGCCCACCTGCCTGGAGCAAGGCATGCGCTGCCTCGGTGGGGCAGCATGCACGGAGTAGAGGGACCGGCCGCCGTCCTCTGCAGAGTATCGCCCACACCAACAACGAAAACAACAACAACAAAACCAACAGCCGAACCAGCCGGTCGGGTGGGCGGTACTAGCAGGGAGCGCGCGGGCCTTTGAAACGGGAGCAAGCCGCAGCACCGGCGTTCGGAGGGCATGGACACACACACACACACACACACACACACACACACACACACACCACACACACACACACACGTGACATCACACGCAAGCAAGGCAGGCACGAGCAGTGGAAGGAAGCTATAAGGGTAGCACGTGCGCGCAGCCTGGGGTTCACAGAGAGAGAGACCAGGACTTGAACCAAGCATGTGACCCCACCAATGGATTCCTCGTTCGGAGAGCAATCCATTGGTAGGGTCACACTGTCGGTTCGAGTCTCGTTTAGCGACTCAGCAGCTCAAAATGCGTTCGGGATTTCGACCGCCTCCACCGGTCTTCTGGCCCACTGCGTGAGGAAAGAGCAGCTTACCCCAGCGTCTTGGTGGAGATGAGGGGCGTCTTGAGGGAGAGGAAGCCGTTGTTGCGCTGCTGCTTGACGGGCTCCTTGGCGGCGGCCTCCTCGTCGGCCTCGCGCTTGCGCTTGCGCCGCACCCACCACAGCGCGGCGGCGCCGGCGCCCAGCAGCAGCAGCAGCGCCACCAGGCCCAGCACGGCCAGCAGCACCACGTCACGACGCTCCATGGCCTGCGGCACACGGGGAAGACACATTTTTAATCGCCTGCTGGAGAGAGAGACAGGACGCACTCGGTGCCGCCCGCGGGGAAGTTGTTCTTAAATATCCAAACTTAAATGAAGGCGCTCGGTAGAAATAGAGTCAGCAGTAGTACACCGCGCACGGATTTGGTGCGTCTTGCCTTCGACCTGCTTGCGACTCAGCCGGTGTTTTTGTTGTTCTTATGTGTTTGATTGTGGGCCTGTGTGTGAGTGTTTGTGTGTGTGAATCTGCACAGCGCGCGTCACTGAGACTGAACAGGATATTCCATTGCTTGGCATCCGGTGGGCTCTGTAAACGCGCAACAACAGCCCCAAGCAAATCCGTTCCATTCCACTGGACCGAATTCTCTCGAAAAAATGGATACTATGCTACGAGAGAGAGAGAGAGAGAGAGAGAGAGAGAGAGAGAGAGAGAGAGAGAGAGAGAGAGAGAGAGAGAGAGACGGGACTGTCCCACTTGATATCAGCCTGCAAGGCCCGTTCGACGACCGTGGTGACACACTGAACGCCTGGAAGCAGGCTGTGACGAGCCCTACAGACCCAACCTAGAGGCTGAAAACGTCTCGCTGCTCTGTCTCCCTCGCACTCCACGGGGTGGTCCATTGGCCGTTGGGGTGCGAGAGAGACAGAGCGCTGCTCGGAATGAGGCGGCTGGCCACCCACGCCGCGTCGCCCTGCGTCGCCCTGACCACCTGAAAGGCTGGCTCACGGCTCAGCGCGCTCCATTGGGAGGAGGCGATGGGCCTGGATGAGGCCGCGGCGAGCTGGCGGAGGCATTGTCGGGGACGCCGTCGAAGGGGGATTTAGCACGGCAGTGCGGCGGCGGCACACGGGAAAAAAGAGTTGAGTGGGTGGAAGTAAGGTCCGGTCGTAGAAATCGACTTCATCGATGGTCTCGATGTCAAACCCAGTGTGGAGAATGCGTCACATCCTACGGTGTACGATGAAAAGAAAAGCCCGCATGGATGGACGGCACCCTCTTTGCTCTTTTCATTTCTAAAATGGGACTGCAAACTTGGACAAAAAAGGGAAGTGTTCATCCAAGACACCAGCAGTAGTGAACCGAAAGGAAAGAAAATACAAACAAAAATCAGTGCATGTCTTCGCAGTCGGGACAAGCGCACCGTGATTACTCTGCAGACTGATTCCGAGGGTCGTTTTCATCACCCCGTCTCTCTCGCAGCTTTACGGAAGACCTCAAGGAGTGCGAGAGAGACAGAGCGATGACTCCCGGAATCAGTCTGCTGGTCCTGGACAACAGCTCGACCCTCTGCACGCTCATGTCAGTGGACCGACTCGGGGCGGACGACGTCAGGGAGGGAGCGTCTGCGGAAGACAACTGCGTGAACTACCCTGACATTTGGCCGTGTTGTTGCGAAGGGACGCGTGCAGGGAAGCGCGACCCGCGGCGATACTACTCTTTCGTTTATTCGGCTCCCCGTCGTTACGACGGTCCTGCAGTGGCCCTGCCTACGTGTTGCCGCCGGCGCGTGGCCGGGCCGGCCAGGCCGCACTACGCAACGACCGCGACCTTTCGGAGGCCGAGCGACTCAACAAGTGTGTGTGTGTGTGTGTGTGTGTGTGTGTGTGTGAGTGAGTGTGTGTGTGTGTGTGTGAGTGAGTGAGTGTGTGTGTGCGCGCGGGGCTTGCCGCTCGGACAGGCCAGGTGACCGACCGTCTAAACCGTGCACGCGTGTCAGGAGTCTAAGGCCCCCCACCCCGTCTGCCCCCGCCCCGCCCTTTCCCTGTGCCCTTCGCCGTGATCTCGATAGCGTAGGGTGCAGCGGCCACGCCAGCCCGCCCCGCGCCTTGTGCTGGGACGAGAAAAATATTCATTAAGCAACGCGCTAGCTGAGCGCGAGGCGGGCAAAGCCAGGCGAGCCTCGTCAAAGGGAGAGGGATCAATACCTTCGTCCGCGGCGAGAAACTACCCGGCGAACTGTGCTGCCTCGGCCTGCCTCGGCCCCGCGCCCCCGTCTGTTGTTCTTGCTTCCGATACAGGAAGGAGTACCGCCCGCTCACTTCCGGTGAGAGGTTTGTGTGTCTGAGGAAAATAACGAACAGCGCGCGTTCTCCGCGTTCGGTTTCTGTCGAGCGCAGCACCCGGCCCCTTTGGATCAGACGATTAGATCTGCACGGTTGTCCAAAACCAAAATGTCCCAGGCTTGCAAGTGTGAGACACTCATTATCACACACCAAGAAGTAAAAACAGTCTCTCTCAAATTCTATGGCCGTGCTTCTGCATCTGGTTCAGACCCTGTTCCATTCAGTGTGGGATAGACTGTTTCTCGCACTTCCTGAAAGGCTCAATTTCCCACCTTCGAGCTTGCAGTTATGTTGGTGACCCTTTAACCTTGGTGCACCGGGAATGTTCGATCGCTTTTGTGGAACACTGCCTCGGGCAGCACATTTTAGAGGTAGTGTGAAGCGTGTGAAAAAATGTGTTCAGCACGTTGCTATTACTGGTTGAGTCGGAATGCCAGAAACGGATCCAGCCGCTTTTCTGCCGCCACCGGTGCAAACCGGACAATGGACCCCATTTTGACCTCTAGTCGCCTGTCGCCTAAAGGAAGGCAAGTAATCGCACTTTGCACCTGTTCGTGGACAAAAAGTCCTTCTTTGCCGCTCCCTCAGGACAGGGCAGCTTGGACCACCCACTGGTTATGAGGTCGCACTTCATTGCTGGCCCCCGGAGAGTTTCGGCGCTGTATTCCGTCGCTGTGTCACAGAGACAGAGCGACACGGACCAGCCTGTTGGCTCTCGGATTGGCCCGGCGCACCGACTACGCCGCGAGAGTGCTGCGTGGGGTGGGATTAGCGGAACACGACAACCCAAATTCCAGAAGTCTTAAAAACGAAGTGCGGCTGAGGGCAGGAATAGGGAGGAACAGAAAAAACAGTGACGGTGAGAGTGCTGCTCAAAGGGCGCGGGCTGCCAGCGGCAGACTCATTCCGAGACTCCTTTCCGTTGCTCTGTCTCTCTCACACTCCTGGGGCGTGCCGTACAGGTGCGAGAGAGACAAGCGACGAAAACGGCTCTCGGAGACAGTCTGCTGGGCGGTATAGAATGCGACGCCGAGCGCGCTGCGTTCCCCTTTGAAAGGTTAGAAAAGCAAGGTCTCTTTTTTCGGGCCCTTTTTTGCACGCAAGGGTTCGTCAAAATAACAAACTAGCCGTACTAAATCAACACCAGCCCAGCAGATAATGTACGTCGACCTGTGGTGAATCGAGTTTTGGCCCGAACCAGAAACTGGAACTCTGCTGTTGTAAGGTTTCGTGGCGACGCGGCCGCAACGCGCCCCGCCGACTACCACTGCGGCCGCACTTCGCCTATAGGCGACAGGGCAGCGCCGCGTGCTTCGCCTGTGCTTCGCCTGTGCTTCGCCTGTGCTTCGCCTGTGCTTCGCCTGTGCTTCGCCTGTGCTTCGCCTGTGCTTCGCCTGTGCTTCGCCTGTGCTTCGCCTGTGCTTCGCCTGTGCTTCGCCTGTGCTTCGCCTGTGCTTCGCCTGTGCTTCGCCTGTGCTTCGCCTGTGCTTCGCCTGTGCTTCGCCTGTGCTTCGCCTGTGCTTCGCCTGTGCTTCGCCTGTGCTTCGCCTGTGCTTCGCCTGTGCTTCGCCTGTGCTTCGCCTGTGCTTCGCCCCGCCCACGAACTTGCTCCTTCGTCCCTGTCAGACGCAGCGCACTGCCGGTAAAGGGAGACGCCCGAATGAATCAGCTTCTGCAGCTCTGGAGAGGACCTCGCCGAGCCGTGGGCGGAAGCACAACAGCCTGTGCACCTGCGGCCCTCCACCCAAAACGAGGCAGGCCTCTATTTTATAAACCATCACGTGGCTTATGGCGCACCCAGCAGCCGTCCTCGGCCTTCGTTGCTCGCAGTGCAGGGGCACCGAGGGGCACTCTTTGCCATGGACCGAAACCTGCTGGTTGCCTTCAGTCACACAATGTCTGACGGTGAGAGGCTGCGCCACCATGGTAATCTTCACGTGAAGATTTTCTCACTTATACCCCAGCAATTCGGTAATATGTCTATAAGGTAAACTGAATTTTCAATGGTATGTTACAAAGTCAGCTGCGGCACCACAACATGGAGAATTTTCACCGGAAGACTTTCAGAGTTCATTTGCAGAGAGAAAAGAGAACAGCGCCAGGGAGAGCCGCCTGCAAATCAGCAGGTAGACTGCCCGCCGACTCCAGTGCGGGCGGGTTGCCTACCCTCCGTCTGGCAGGGGCTCCGAGAGCCACAAGTGGCTATGCTTTACCTCCCACCCGCGTGCGTGGTGCACATAACCAAAGTCCCGGGGGCGGGGCGGGGCGAGTGGAGTGTATCTTGGCGGATTTCGCGCATCCCAGTCCAACTCCCCGCTGGAGTTTAGGCCGGCTGCGCTGCCGCGCTGCTGCGGCGGGTTGCGGCTTAGTGCCGCTGCAGTCGGGGTAATGGGAGTGGAGGCTGCCTTGCCTGGTGGGCGTGCACAGTGCGCACGCGGCCTGTGGGCGCGATCAAAGTTTGCCCTGCAGCGCGCCGCGGTGGCCGAAGATAAAATCCCCGCCCCCATTCCCTACTTATCGCACGGCTCGTCACGGCCCTCTGTTTTACTGGAGTGTCATGCCGTCGCCGCCACCGTGCACTCGCAGAACTGGAGCGTGCCTTTACGCCTTTCTTCGAGTCAGTGTAGTGCTTCCTAAGCTTCAGGCTTTCAAGCCTCAATTTTTCAGGCTTCCAGGCTTACAAGATTTCAAGCTTTAAGGCTTTCAAGCTTTAAGGCTTTCACGCTTTAAGGCTTTCAAGCTTTAAGGCTTTCAAGCTTTAAGGCTTTCAAGCTTTAAGGCTTTCAAGCTTTAAGGCTTTCAAGCTTTAAGGCTTTCAAGCTTTAAGGCTTTCAAGCTTAACGGCTTTCAAGCTTTAAGGCTTTCAAGCTTTAAGGCTTTCACGCTTTAAGGCTTTCAAGCTGTAAGGCTTTCAAGCTTAAAGG